ATATGTTCCATATTAACTAATAAAGATTTACAGCGTATAAGCAATTTACAAACAAAAAAAAAAAAAAAAAAAAAAAATATTATAGTAAAAATTGAAGAAAATTAAATGAAATTATTTAAAGTATAATTATACCTACTTTTCTTACTATATATATCTCTTTCGACTTTAAATTTTCATTTTTTCGCTTTATCTAACCTAGTAGAATATATGAGGACTTTCTCGTGATTGGCCAATCACATGAAATTGATGATAACTTATAATTAGCTAATCATTCGGCTCATTTACTGCGACATTCGTTTTATTTACTGACTCTTCATAATATATTTCATGAATAAATTCATTTTTGGTTAAGTATTCATTTAACAATTCTTGGGTGGGTTCAGTTTTTGACAAATTGATAATTAAATAGCAAATAAATAAAAATATTGTAAGACAATATTGAAGAAATCCATTTTGCAACTTACTTATTTTTGTGAAATGCGATTTTGCTAAAGGTACTTCTAACGATTTTTAAATAAATTTATCGAAATCTAAACACCGCATAACTAATTCTCGTGCATAATGATTCAAAAAAAGAAAAAAAGCTAGAGAAATTTTTATATTTACTCGAGACCTAATTTTTGCAAATGTGGGAGCTGCAACTTTTACTTCTTCAGTTGTGGCTGTGACCTCTGTTGCTGCTTCTTCTTTCACGGCTGTGAGCTCTGTTGCTGCTTCTTCTGATATCCCTGGTTCTGAGTATGTTGGTGATAAGGCTAACTTAACAAATAACCCACCAGAACAAATAACTGAAACAACAAGTAACTAGCCATTACCAGTTATCGACGTAGATCGAGCTACAGGACTGTCAATATTACACGACTGATTTTTCACACGGTGTAAAATACATAAAAAAATTATTTTACAATACTTGATCAGACTTGATCAGTCAGTTAGTACATGTTATGATTATAATCCAACACTATTTTTTATTATAAAAAAATGGTGTGGAATTATAATCATAACATGTACTAACTGACTGATCAAGTCCTCAAGTATTGTAAAATAATTTTTTTATGTGTTTCACACCGTGTGAAAAATCAGTCGTGTAATATCGACGGTCGCTTCTGTTAGAAGTGACGAGGAGGAATCAATTGATACAACATGGCTGCCTGTTGAATTCTCGGAACAATACACCGAAGAAAGCACCGAAGAAAGTTCTGAAGAGAGTTCAGATGAGTGTAAAAAAAGAAAAGGAGAAATAATATTCAAAAACTGTACAGTAATTTCAATTTCAAAAATTAAGAATAAAATTTTGAACTAAGATTTATTTGTACTAGTATCATTTTCCGAAGGCCTCTAGTTGCCGTCGGAGAACGAAATATAAAAGATAGTTTCAATATTATGAATTTGGGCAAAATTAAGGCTTAATTGGGTCTGTTGACTATTCTGGCAAGTTCTTTGTTCATTAATAATCAAAGCTCGAATTTTGTCTTCAAAAAGTAAAATTTTCGAAAGCAAAAATAATTGCTGCGGGACTAGCTTTTTTCAATTTTATTATATAGGGTTAGATAAATATTTTTTTTTTTGAATTTATTTGAATTTTTTTATTTCATTAAAATTGAATTAAATCAAAGAAATACAAATATTTAAAGAGCCGATAAACAAATATCTAAATTTCTTGCAAATATATTTTCTCTATTTAAAATAATTAAACAATTTGAATCGAAAAAAATAAATCAACTAAATAATAGTTTATATTAACTCAATAATAAAAAGCTCAAAAGAGAATTGCTTTTGAAAATTCTCACTAATCTAGGTTCAAACATATTCATGTCAAACATTAGTTTACACAATGCTTCTGGTAAGGTGCTTTTATTGTTAATTTTCTTGAAAATATATAAAAAGATGATAAAAATAATAAAGAAACAAATTAAATATAAATAAAAGAGTAAAAGGCCATATATAAAATTTATATTAAGTGTTAGTAAAAGAACATCAAGAGCATTGATTTTGTCACCAATTTTTTTTAATTCATTCATGGTCAATAAATCTTCTGAAGGAATTGTGGCAAAATTAAAATAGTTAACATTGTTTTTGAAAACTTCAAGTTCAAATGTTGGTGATTCACTGGCCAAAAAATCTTCAGAAGAATCAGAAATAATTGTGTCTATACAAAATTAAATAATTAGTGTCTCTCTCACCATTAAATTTTAATTATAAATTCTTACCTTGAGAAAAAAATAAGATATTTTCATTTAAAGAATTGGGTAATGAATATTCATTTTTCAGTGATGACTGAAAAGAAATTGGATATAAATTATTATAGTAAATTTCTTCTTAATTGGGTGGAAAGTATTTTCTTGGTTCAAATGATATTTTTATTTGTTTTATGTGATAAAAAAGAAGATAAAATTTAAGTATTTTATTATTGTTAATTGAAAATTTTGAACTACCACAAGCGTCTGTCGATAAATTTATAGTGTTGACAAATCACGTATAATTTTTCGTATATATCATGACTCGGTTGTTGAGTCAACTTATTATTTAGCAATATAAAAAAACATATAACCGAATATAAGTACTTTTTTATTTAATCAGGGCCTATTACTAATATAAAATAAATATCACATTATTTTATAATAATACAAAAATTATTTTATTGAATGCCTTTGATTGGCTGAAAACAGACTAAGATAATCAATTAAGAGTCTTCATCACGAATAATAATAATTATTAAAAGTGCAGTTATTAAACGTTGAATGGTAATAAATATTTCTACTATTTTGATTATCCTGATCGCTATGAGAATTAGGAGTAGGTGTTTCTTGGCACGAATTAGGAATTTCTTGTTGATGAGGATCAGGATTATCTTGTTGATTATCTAATATCGAAATATGCCCATCATCGCTACAAGGATTAGATGCTTCTTGACGCGAATTAAGATTTTCTTTTGGTCTTTGTATTGTAATACTTCGTTGCAATCATCATAACTCCGATAATGTAGTTCGATGTATTTATTAAATAACGTTGTAAATTTAAGCATATAAAAGCAAATATTGATATATTTTTTATTGAAAGAGGTTCCTATTCATTTGTACAAATTATTTCTCTTATTTTCTTATGACTTTGCAATGCTACACTTCTAAATCTATGATTATTTGATTTTATTTAACTATTTTTATTGCAATACTTTTTTTGTTCCATAAGTTCTAAATTTTCTTGTTCTAAATTTGCAATTCTATCATCTTTTAGTTTAATTTCTTTCTTTCGATCGTCATTAATCTTTTTTAACTGCTTTTCGACTACATCACTTTTGTCATGTATTTGTTTTAAATCATTTTTCAAACATTTAATTTCTTTTTCATTTTTTCCTTTCTCGGCTTCTAAAGACTTAATTTTATCATTCAGAGCTGACTCTGATGCTTCAAGTATTGTCTTTTTCTGGAGAAATTTCTCGTATTTCTTATTGAAATCATTGATTTTTTTCTGAAATTCTATAACCATCTCATCGAGTTCCACGGTTTTTTTTTAGTAGATTTTAGCTCCTTTTCGATTATTGCAAGTTTTTCATTAGTAGATTCTAGCTCTTTTTCGGTTACTACAAGTTTTTTATTAGTGGATTTAAGCTCCTTTTCAGTTATTGCAAGTTTTTTTTATGTATTCGCGATTTCTTTTTGAAGCTTATTATTTTCTTCTTTGTTCACTGTGTTAAGCTATACAATATATTGCTTAGAGCGATTTTTAAATGTTAATAAAATCTTAATAATACTTACTTTTTCGAGTAATGTTTTGTGTAGTACATTAACATATGTTTTGTGTACTGATTTCCAGACATTATTAATAGTATTTATATTATGTTGCCAAACGTTATTGGTATTCTATTTAAATAAAAAATCTTTAATAAAATTCTTAGAATAATTGATTCAATAAATATTATCTATTACCATTATAAAAAACATGCTAAATAAAGCTAATGCAACCGAAATTGCTATAAAATGCCAATTTTTTTTTAATATATATTTCCAATTCTAATTTCTTTCAGTATTTATATTGATATTAAAATCTTGTCGTTGTAACTGGACGGTGGGTTGTAGACAGCTATTATTTGATTTTGTTTGAACAGCAATTTTGTTAGCGATTAACTGTTGATCATATCGCAATTGTCGTTTATCATGTTCATTGTCAGATGTGGAAGATTCTGAGACAGAATCTGAGTCATTCAATGAAAATTTATCAACATCGATAGTAATTTGGGTGTTTTTGTTTGGGTTAGGATTTACATTATCAATGATCTTTTTTGATTCCAATTCTAGTAATGTTAATAGAAATACATTCATAAATAATATATCTAAAATTTACTAAAAAAAACAAAAATTTATTAATTAGTTTTATACTATTGGCATAAATATGTGCAGCCGTAAAAAAATAGTTTGTAAAATTATTTTCGTCTTTAATGGCTCTAAGTTGATCATGAATATTCGATTGATTAGAAAAGGAGACACCTCACTTTAAAAGACTTGGAAATTTGTTTTTATAGTTTTCATAATCAATTTTTGACAAAGAAACTTTTGGAATCTCGTTTTTTCTGATACGGCAAGACATTATTATTATTCAGGTACGTAGGGAAATCTTGAGATTTTTTAAAAAAGTCAAACGAATAGATGTGTGCTTTATATTCTCGATCTAGTTGCAGTATGATTGTAGCATTTCAGTAAAAAAAACTTTCATTTTCAGCAACTTCAAACTTCTTCAAATAATACTCATTTGCGCTTTTATTTTTAAACGCACTATTTTCTTCCTTTAGAATTTCATTTTCTTTATTTTAATTTAAAGTCTGAAAAAAAATTTACTTAGAAACAAGATTCTTGGCACCCCATTTACTAATACACTTTTAATATAAGCATTATAATTTAACTTGGTTTCTTGCTTAAAATTACATAAATTTGCTGAATTTATATTTTAATTTTGCCTGAATTATATTTTAATTTGCCTGGAATTATATCTAATTTTACTCGAAATTCTGCTTGAAGAGAGTTGTATAACTTACTGTAAGTTATGTTTAAAATGTAAGTTACATTTTAAATTATGTAAGTTACTATGTACAGATGTGTAAAGAACCGGTAAGTGTGTGATGGAACTCTTTTTTTTTTTTTTTTGAAATATGCATTGTAATTTTACTTAATATAATATAATGCAATTTAACTGGGTTTGCAAACCATTTATTTATATGAGAGCTTTACTAGCAAAATAACCTCTAAGCCATTGTTACGTGAGATTTTAATAAAGAAAGTCATAATAAATCTCTTTCAGATAAAGTTTTTGAAATAGTAGTATAATTTATTTCGAGTATATATACTGTCAAGTAAGATATGGTCATTTTCAAAGAGAAAAAAATTTCATGCCACGAAATCGCAGACATACACGCTCTGATAACCTAACTCCTAATGAAAACCTTGAACAATTTTTAGTAGGACACGTAGAATTTTTGCGAAGGGAAAAAAGGAGAATCAAAACTTTTTTAGGGAAAACAGAATAACAGGTGAAAATTTAGAAGTAAAATTGAGAGCCTTAGAAACAATCATAGAAGAAAGGAATCATCTCAGAGCACGGATAAGACAGCTTCAAACCACCCAAAGGACTGCAAATCGAATAATAAACGAACTTTATGTTGAAAAAAGACAATTTTTAGCTCGGATATGAGAGCTAGAACAAGAGAATACACAACTTTGTCGCGATCTCGAATATGAGCTAGCGATTAATAGAAGAACCATCAATAATCTTAGAAATCAGGTTAACATTCTCGAGAATCGAGAGAACATTTTTACAGCAGTATTAAACAACCAAGGTAAAATATGCAGAAGATTGCAATGTTTTTACTTTTGTTTATATAACATTAATAATTAAACATTTAGGTCAAGTTATTCCAAGGTTGCGTAGACAAGATGCTTTCATTTATAAGGTAGAAGAAGATTTTGAAACTAGTGATTAAATAAAATATGAAGTGTTGTTAATCTTTTCAATTAATTTTTATAATATAATTTTTTTCATTCAAGTCTCTCAGTTTCAATTTTTTCATCATGTGAGACATTGTTAATTGAAGTGAACGGCCAACATCATCAGCTCCATTCACTAACTAGTCTATTATTTAATAATCATTGTTGGCCAACATCATCAGCTCCACTAATAATAATAGACCAGTCTTTGATTTCTTTGTAGAAAGTGTAAAGTGAATATATGAAATAGTCAAAAAGACAAAACGTGATTACTCCCCTTGTTTAGTATGGTTCAAGTTCTAAAATGGTTTACAATCGTTTTGGCATTTTTTGTTGTAGCAGTGGCAGCATTAAATATCTTGAAGTATTACAACACACAGCTTCGATTGTTATTGAGAATTTGGAAAAAGTTGGTGATATTTGTTGAATGGTTTGATTTTTTTGTCTTCACGGCCTCGCCGGTTTATAATTATTTGTAAAAAAGGTATAAGTGAATATATGAACAATTAATAAAAAAAATGAACTTCGATGTTAGTCTATGCGACAGATTATTCAGTTATAATTTGTAATTTCTATTGTTGGAAAACGGTATTCTATGTTTAAAAGTAAAAGAACGGCCCATTAACACACGTTCTTGACTGGCCCATAGAGCACACAGTCATAAACTCTAAAGAAGCGATTAATCCAAGCTTTTATGAAATAAAATACATTTAAACTAAAAATAAAATTTTACTTTTCGAATTTAGAGATCAATTTATTTCGTCATTAGAAATGATGGCAAGTTTTCATCTTCGTACCCAAAACTTTTATCCTAATTAATTTGTTGGAAAGATCGAGACAAGTGCAAGTTATATCTATCTATACTCACACTGTGTGTGGGATTCCACTTGAGTATCCCCTAAGCAGATTATGCAAGATGTTCCAATGTTTCACAGTTATACAAAATTTTAATTACTTAAAATTGGGCAAAATAAATCTTGTCATAAAACTAGAATTAATCTTGAGAATCTCCTGAACAGCTTATGCATTTTGAGTAGATTATGCAAGACGTTCCAACGTTTCACAGTTATACAAAATTCCAATTGGTACTTAAAGTTGACTAAATTTTTAATTTCATATATTGATCTTACATTTTAAGTATCTTCTAAGCAGATTATACAAGACGTTCCAACATTTCACAGTTAAACAAAATTCTAATTGGTACTTAAAGTTGACTAAATTTTAACTTCATATGTTACATTTTAAGTATCTTCTAAGCAGATTATACAAGGTGTTCCAACGTTTCACAGTTATACAAAATTTTAATTACTTAAAATTGGGCAAAATAAATCTTGTTATAAAACTAGAATTAATCTTGAGAATCTCCTAAACAGCTTATACATTTGCAAGACGTTCCAATATTTCACTGTTATACAAAATTCTAATTGGTACTTAAAGTTGGCTAAATTTTTAATTTCATATGTTGATTTTACATTTTAAGTATCTTCTAAGCAGATTATGCAAGATGTTCCAACGTTTTAGGGTTAAACAAAATTCTAATTGGTACTTAAAGTTGGCTAAATTTTAATTTCATATGTTGATTATACATTTTAAGTATCTTCTAAGCAGATTATACAAGGCGTTCCAACATTTCACAGTTATACAAAATTTTAATTACTTAAAATTGGGCAAAATAAATCTTGTCATAAAACTAGAACAGCTTATACATTTTGAGTAGATTATGCAAGACGTTCCAACGTTTCACAATTATACAAAATTCTAATTGGATATGTTGATCTTACATTTTAAGTATCTTCTAAGCAGATTATACAAAATGTTCCAACTTTTCACGGTTAAACAAAAATCCAATAGTTGGCTAAATTTTTAATTTCATATGTTGATTATACATTTTAAGTATCTTCTAAGCAGATTATGCAAGATGTTCCAATGTTTCACGGTTATACAAAATTCTAAATGGTACTTAAAGTTGGCTAAATTTTTAATTTCATGTGTTGATTATACAATAATTAGTCTTACATTTTAAGTATCTTCTAAGCAGATTATACAAGGCATTCCAACGTTTCACAGTTATACAAAATTCTAATTGGTACTTAAAGTTGGCTAAATTTTTAATCTCATATGTTGATTATAGTCTTACATTTTAAGTAAAGTTTGCTAAATTTTAATTATGCTTATAAGCAGATTATGCTTCACAGTTATACAAAATTTTAATTACTTAAAATTGGCTAAATCTCCTGAATATTATATTTGAGTATCTCCTAAGTAGATTATGCAAGATATTCCAACGTTTATACAAATTTTAATTAGTACAAAGTTGGCTAAATTTTTAATTTCAAGCAGATTATGCAAGGCATTCCAACGTTTTACAGTTATACTAAATTTTAATTACATTAAAATTGGCTAAATAATAAATCTTGTCAGTAAACTAGAATTAATCTTGAAAATCTTCTGAGCAATTATACATTTTGAGTAGATTATGCAAAACGTTTTAACGTTTCACAGTTATACAAAATTTTATTTAAAGTTGGCTAAATTTTTAATTTCATATGTTGATTATGCAATAGTCTTACATTTTAAGTATCTTCTAAGCAGATTATACAAGGCGCTCCAACGTTTCACAGTTATACAAAATTTTAATTACTTAAAATTTGCTAAATAAATAAATCTTGTCAGTAAACTAGAATTAATCTTGAGAATCTCCTGAGTATATTATATATTTTGAGTAGATTATGTAAGACGTTTTACAATTATACAAATTTTAATTGGTACTTAAAGTTGGCTAAATTTTGAGCAAATTATACATTTTGAGTGGATTATGCAAGGCGTTCCAACATTTCACAGTTACAAAACTAGAATTAATCTTGAGTAGATTATATATTTTGAGTATCCCCTATGCAATATACAATTTCACAGTTATACAAAATTTTAATTACTTAAAATTGCTAAATAAATAAATTTTCTATATATTTTGAGTAGATTATACAAGACATTCCAACGTTTCACAGTTATACAAAATTCTAGTTGGTACTTAAAGTTAGCTAAATTTTTAATTTAATTATCTTCTGAGTTAGGGATGTTAAGTAGTATGACCAGGTGGGGCACAGGGTGTGATTCAAATCACGTTTTAACAAAGTGGTTAAACTATTAACATCCCTATGTGGTTTGTTCATCTGTTTTTGGCCAAAATTAAACTAACAAGATTACATGATGTAATCCTAGTTAGATGTGCGGATCTCATCTCTACCCGGCACTTGCAAAACTCTGGGTAGCCGCTGGCCAGCTATTTAATAATATTTATATTAGAAAACATGTAATTATCAATAAATTTTAACATACATTTTTCAATATATTAAAAATTAAAAATCTTAATTAAAAATTTGAATATTTTCTATAAAATCATTAAAAAAAACATATAATACAACTCTTAATTGTGTATTAATAAATTTAAACATATAAAGATCTTAATTGAAAAATTGATATTTTCTATAAAATCAAATATTTAATTAAAAGTTTAAAATAATGTTACTACTAACTTTAACCAGTGTAGGTTTACATATCTTCCTTTAAACAACTTGTTAATTTCAAAATATCTTCATTATTAGCTTCTTGAAAATAATTAATCGTAATGTTTGAACATCTCAATTTTTCGAGTATTTTTTCTTTTGGAATATTATCATTATCAAAAGCTTAATTAAATAATAAAGTAATTAATTGGATTATTGTATTAATATGAAAAACAGATAATGCTAGTTTTCAGAAAAATTCTTAATTAATACCTTCGAATATCAAAGCCAAATTGTCATATGATTTCCTCCAATATGTTGCTATTGAGTAAATATTTGAATAGTTTTCTTTTGGAATTGTTTCTCTGATCAATTTATTTATTTCTTTATTTTTCTCATGGGCAGAAATGAAGTCCTTTTCTTTGATTGATTCATACAACGTTTTACATTGATTAAATCTGCTACAAAATTTAATCCAGTTCAAATTAAGTTTTTCTTGGACTATCTTTTTGTACAATTCTCAATTGTACTTCTTCCAATCTTCCTTCCAAGCTTCTAAATTGTTCGCTTTTGGAGTAATTGGATCATAAAACGGCTTAGCTGATATAATGTTTCCAGTAATACATTCGATATAGGTCTCAGTGGAACTTTTTTTTTCCTTTCAGGCATTTATTAATGAACTTATACTGTATCACCAATTATTAAATAATATTTGTCAAGTAAAATATGACCAAAAAGTTTTAAAGGAATGTTTTTGTATACGATAAAATGATAAAAGTTAAAGGATTAACAATAACATTACAATAATGAAGATTTTTAAATACATAGTGCTTTATGCAGTGAAACCTGGTTTATATAATATTTGGATTTGTCCATGGGGCCGTTAGATTTGCAACAAAGTTTTGGAGTTGACAGAAAACTTGAAAGAAATAAGCTTTAAATTAATAGTCTGCCGTACCAATTTTGTGCAAAGATCATATTTTGAATACCGACTTATTTTACAAAAAAGTTTCACCAGTTTCATTGTCTCCAAAAGTTCTATGCACAATTGGCTCAGAATACAAATATGAATGCTGTGACTTATTGATCCTTTAAAAATTCGATAAAAATCAGTTCGGACTTCTATGCACCAGCTGGAGAAAGCCAAAAATACAATAAATCATTTTCTGGCCCATGACCAACATAATTCAGCCCGGCACTAAAAATTTGAAATGAATTTTTAACAAATTTATACTAGATAATAAATACAAATTTAATAAATTAAAAAAGTCTATTTTACAAAAATATCAATACAGATGTTTGAACTATTCACTACCATAAATTCTATTCGCAAGAAATCCAATCCAAGTTGGATAAATTGAAATTTTAATATGGCACTAACCCATTATAATGTGAATGTCCAAACCCACGACATCCTGACTTTATTTTACTAAAAAAGTCTCTTATTTGATCTATTATATACCAAAATTTATATTGATCGACACCAAAAGTTCCATGCACAATTGGCTCGAAAGGTTCAATAAACAAATATGAATGCTTCAACTTATTGATCCTATAAAAATAGATAAAAATCAGTTCAAACTTCTATATACCAGGTAGAAAACCAAAAATATACATATAACCAGATTATTGAAATTGTTATAATTTCAACAATTAATAAAAAAATAAGAATGTTTTGGCAAATAAACAATTTCACATGAAATTTTCTTGCAGATTTAATTTTGCAAACAATAAATGGTGTTGATTTCTCTTGAGCTGTCATTTTCAATATCATTAAATGACAAAAAAAAAAAAATTATTACTTTATATATTTTTGGTTCGCATACAATTGAGATCTGCATTTATATTATAAATCGATATCATATTTAAATTATTAACTTTATCATAGAAATCGAAGTTTCAATATAAAATAGGTAATATGAATAACCGCGGCTAAAG